TACCCTGAACATTAGACTACAGTGTGAAATGTCAAGGTGTCATTTTGTTTTAAGAGAGTTAGGTAGAAAAAGTTTTGCTTTTTCCATAAGACTTTTTGAAACTATGGAATTTAACCTATTTTGCATTTAGATAAACCCAGGAAATTTCAGGTTTTCCTAGCAAGGCTGTCCTAAGCAGCAAAGAGCTCAAACGGTGCGTGCTTCTGCTGCTGGGCCCCACTCGGCTCAGCGGTCTGACTGTGGCTGCTCTGCTGGACATCACCCGAGCATCCCAAGCCATCGGTCCCTCTGCAGCTGGGAAAAACCTTCTTTGGAAAGTTTGTCAAAACCAAAGCAGAAAAGAGTTTTGATATACAGCACCCCAATTTTGCAAAGCAGTAACATTTTATTAAAAGCTTTCTGAATGGCTTTTGTTGTTACTGCTCGTGGCAACACTGGCAGAGCTTGCTTTTCAAAAATGGCAATGATGTAACACACACACACTCTGCATACAAGTGTTAAAAGCTGGAGTTATGTTTCAGGCAGACCTTAATTCTTTAAAATTCTGGTTTCATTCTTAAACTATTGATGCTGCACTTTGCTCTTAAATGTCAGAACAAAATAAGTGATACCTGCAATTTATTCAGATGACATTTCAACAATACAAGATTTTCAGATTACAAACTACAGCCCCATGTTCCTTATCGTGTTACGCTGAATGTGTAGATTTTGTGGATTTACATAATGGGTTTGTATAATGAATATTTATATAATGAATGCATTTGCATAATGATTGCAAATAAACATGCATAATAAAGATTCCAGGCCAATAATTCATGTACTAAGTTAAAAATCACCTCTAAATACATTTTTTTATTCCTACAAAAGGTTCATTTTATCTCTTGTTCAAAAAAATTGTATCCAACCTTATCCAAGTAAAGGCTGCATTGATGCAAATCATGATAATATTTTGGAATTAGTCTACATTGAATCATTTGTATTCAGAGATTTCAATTTCTTATCTTTTAGTAGCAGCTTTGACAAACAATTTCAGAATATTCTAAATATGATTTGTTAATATAATTTAGCATTGTATTCTAGATGTGATGCTTGCATGTATGCCTCATCAGTGCTATTGGGAATTACAGGAGAAAACTGGTAGAAATTATAAAGTGAAGATGAATCTTATGTTTAGATAAAGGTAATTTGCTGCAGACAGAATATAAACTCTTACAGAAATTTGGTGTTTTCAACTCTCCTGCATTTTGTTTTTTAATAAATCCAGGCTTCTTGTTTGCCAGACTGATACTTAATTGGATCTGAGTGCCATTTATAACTGTCTGTACACCAGAACATACACCTGAGCACAAAAGTGGTACGGTGTTACTGAAATGGAAATATTCTTCTTTATTTGGTAGACTAGCGGACAGAACATATTCTGTAAATTATATGTCTATTTCCATCACATTTTACAAGATTTTTTGAGCAAAAAGTTATTTGGATCCTCTGTTCTTCCACTCCAGACAGAATTCTGTCCATTAATCAACCAGGGGACACCAAGGCATGTCCTAGTGCTCTGCATTGGCCGCATTGGTGCTTACCTCTCAGATGTAATGGGTTTTGTAATAATGCAGCCCTGTAATGCAGCATTTGCAATGAGTTTGCAAGCCCTCAGCACTGAGGCTTGTCAGAGCATCTCTGCCTGGACTTGTCCTGCCCTGCCTACAGCTTTGTCATGCCTGGTTCAGCTGGGGCAGCATTTCCTCCAACTGAGCAGGCGTCCCCGGCTAATCTGTTTTAGCTTTGCATTTCCATGGTATGACCGTAGTTTTATACAGCCAGAAGTAGTGAGCAGTTATTCTGTGTGTAATGAGGTTTTTAGGACCGTTACACAATGATGCAATGCAGAGAAACAGGCTGGTGTGGGAGCAGGGGCTTGAGAAGCAGGGACATGGGACAGGGTGCAGAGGCGGGCAGGCACGGGGTGGGCAGAGACAGGCAGGGGCTGCCACAGGAGACCCCATAGCTGTGAACAGCTCATCCATGGTCAGTTGAAGAAATGCAGATTTGGAGCTGGACAAAGTGGGGTTTAGGGGTATCGGAGAACAAAGGAATGATATCGGACATACGTAGATATGTATATGCAAACAGTACATTAGGATGTAATGTGGAGCTGCAAAGCAATGAAGAAAGAGCAAAGGTGTAAAGGCATGACAGCAAACATTTAAAAATGACCCCAAACAGATCTTAAAGGGAGGAAGAAGAAACCACCAATGTGAACATCATATTCCTCCCCCCGAGAGATCCTGAATGCTCACAACTCATCATAACAGCCGCCCACCAGAATGAAGCCACCGATCTTCAGCCCCCACGGGGCAGGGGAGGGTGTGCAAATCACCAGGAAAGGGGGTAGAAACTAAGTGGGTCTATAACAACTTTAACTGCATTATTATTCTTTCTTTTTCGGTAAGTCATAGAATCATAGAATGGTTTGGGTTGGAAAGATCATCTAGTCCAAGCCCCCTGCTATGAGCAGGGAATATTAGGTCTAGGTTAATAATGATTCTTGAGTTAGACTGTTGAGACTTCAATTATATATATAAACAAAGCATTTATTGTTATTGTATCAGGTGTACCTCCTCTTTGCCCCTAAACAAGACTGAGCAGTTCATGAGCACCAGTTTAAATGCATCTGCAGGTGAAGTAAATCAGTCATGCTGTGAGGAGATACTTCCAGTGCCACCCCAGGCGGCAAGGCTGCAGTAGGTGCATATCCCACTGTTTTAATGATGAATTATACATGCATATCCTGAG